AGAGAGAGAGAGAGAGAGAGAGAGAGAGAGAGATAGGGATGCTTGTTGATGATTCAAGTATTGGTGAAAGCTAAGAAGTAACTTTTTAAGTGTTATATTTACTTAATTATTCAGAGAGATATTTAATCATTTATTTTATCATCCTAAAGTGAAAATTAAAGTTAGCTTTAAGCTTTATTCACAAATGTTTTATTTTAATAGACAAATACAGGATCTTGATATGTATATAAATCTAAACATTTTTATTAATGAATGAATTATAGATATGCAACAGTAGTAGGTAAATTTTTTTTCTGGAAGTTAAATTGGCATTTAAATTATTATTAGTAAATTTGTATTAAATATTGAATGAAAAATAGCAAGAGAATGATTCAAGTTTTGAGGATATGTTATTTAATATGTCTAATTGAAATAAAATAAAAAACAAATATATTAAAGAGAAAAGTATACAGATAGGTTGTATGAGTGGGCCCAAAAGTAGGCAGCCAACCCACACAGTACAAAAAAAAAAAAAAAACAAAAAAAAAAAACTAAAAAAAGAGAGGGTCCATATAAAATAAAAAAAAACCCAAACCACCAGGGCGCGGAAGTAGTTAGGGACAACCCAATTTAGTCCTGCCTCTGCCTCTAGTTCTCAAAAGAGAGTCAACTAACAAATTGCTGAGGTGCGTACCATTACCCAAAGTATCCAAAGTATCATCAATTAAATTCTTTAACTCAAGTTAATCTCTTTTCTTCTCCTTCTTTCTGGAAGTATAAACCTGTCATTCCTCATCCAAAGATTGATCATTCGGATGAAGTGGTGAAGCTGTAGCAGAAGGATTGCCAATCGTTGTACCCACAATAGTTTCTAGTATATGTGAAGTATGAGTTGTCGCCTCTACACCAGATACTTCCTGAAGATGGAGAGCTGCAAAGTTCTCTTGATTATCAGTCCGAACACCATTCTTTGTAGGTAAGGATCCTTCAGTATTGTTTTCAAGAGGGTTTGAAGGTGTTGGTTGCCTA